GGATGTTCTTCAAAATATGCCCTATTACCCAAATATTCCGTTGAAACCTCTACACAAACAAAGCGAACCTTTGTTTTTATCTTTAGGAGTGGAACAAGTAGTATCTTATCCCGACAGATTCCGAGAAAGTTGTACCCTTATTATGGGAGTAGGTTTTCCTATGTTTCCTACTTCACTTGCTAAATCTCTTGTAAAGTTTGGTTTCGAGTGGGTTGTAGAACGAATAGCTCCCATAGGCCAATTTGACTCCCTTCCTGACCATTTTCCAAGAGGTCAGTTGACTTTCCTATTGTTATTTTCTTTTATCTGTTTGTACATTGTTCAAAAGTGGTCCTCTTCTATCCATCTTAAGGCTCGTTGGATATCGATATAATCCCATCTCAGTGACTGCATCATATAAAAAGGACTCCGATGTCAATATGTCATCTACTTGAAACGGTATACGATAAAGTGCCATCATCAAAAGTATATCAAAAACACTTTTTCTATCCTCGTCCAAATTCAATATTCGTTCCAAAAATGGTTCAGCACAAATTCTTCGGAAATCGTAGTCATTCATACACGTCAAACATTCTTCTTTCGATATGAAAGGCTGGTTTCTTGCTATTACATAATTCAAAAGCATATTCACTGCACGAGTCAACAAACCAGGAACTCCACCTGTACATTCCAATAACGAATCTGCCAATTCATTTACTGAAAATGAAGAACTACATAAGACATTACAAACTGGAACTTGAGTAGGTGTCTTTAGAAGACTCTTTTCAAGGAATTCAACGATACTGGAAGCGTCCAAAGGTGATAAAGGGATAAAATGTAGTATAACTCTTGATAGCCCAAAAGCCACATAATTCTTAATACTTAAACCCTTGCTTTTCCCAACAACTATAAAAAACAAGTCGGGTTCTTTGCACAATTGACTAATGATACCGAAAAAGTCGTTGTATGGTCGAACTCTACCGTCATGGGTTCTCTTGAAATGAAAATCGTCGAGACTTTCGTCAAGGACACCAATTTCATCAAATGCCACCAAAAGATATTGATCGGAAGGAATGCCCAAAGTCTTCCGTAGCTCTGGAATTAGAAAGCTTGGATAGGGAGGAATGTGTCTGTAGGCTTCATCAGGCTTCATAAACGGTAGACCCATCTGATTACAAGCTGATAGGTACAATAAATAGTAGACTGCCCACTCAAGGTTGCGTTTTTCCTCGATGGGTCGAGTTGGCTTCAACTCCTTCAAATCCACATAAAGCAATGAAGCCCTTTTCAGCTTCTCCAAAAAGGTTCTCTTCAAAGGGTCTGAAGCAAACGTCGACAGGGAAGTTTCACCAAACCTTTGCACCAACTCCAAATAGGTTCGGGCAAAGGTCGTTTTGCCCGAGCCAAAGAGATGGGGGGCAAATGGTATGGTCAAGCGATAGTCGCAACTACTTGTTACACCCCTGAGTTGCTTTCGGCCTTTATGAAGATAATACAGTTCTTTTGTCACTCGAACAACATCTCTTTCACGATCTACAACAGACTCAAAGTTGTCCACAGCTTTCCACTTTTCATCCAAACTCGTGAAAAGATATTGCAGTTTGGATTTGACTGGATATTCATTCGAAAATGGCTTTATTATTTTTGTTATTGCGAAGCTGGTTTTGCTTCTCGAACGTTAGCTGATTACCAAATCGTCCTTGTGAGACCTGGAACCAAAGATAATTTTTAATATGGATAGCTATGTCATATTCAAGAAAACCATGAGCTGAAAAAATCTATCATTCGAGACCACACTAGCCATACTCATTACATTGCTTTCTCTCAGTGGCACAGTATACACTACTTACCATTTTGACTNTTGTTTGGATGTGAATAAAATGGAAATTTTCTTTTCCATAATTGATAAGCTTCCTTTATATCGTCATTTGATGTTAGTCTTCTAAGCATGTCAAAAACGAGATGCGTACCCAGTGAATAGCAAAAATAACTTTCCATGTCATGAATGGATAACGAAACAAAAATATCAGCAACGATAACAGTGACCAAGCATGTCTCTCTAAATCTAGACTTGCAAACAGAATGTTGTGCTGTTGATGTTTCAGAAGCGTCGTCACTCTCAAGTTTTCNATTGGATTGGAAAAACACCAGTTGTATTCTATATTTTCCATTGGAAGAAACGGAGATACATGAAATGCTTTCGGGTGACTCTTCATAACTATCAATGACGAAGACAACGAAGCATCNTACTGAGTCTCTTTNGGAACAAGTACTTCNATATGTGACTCTAACCACGGAATATTNCTGATAAGAGCAACGACTGCTTCTAAATATTTNCCCGATTCNTCNAAAACATAGAAAAAACTCACAGGGTTNAAAGAAACACCAAAATATCTNGGATGAGTCAATAACCTTACAGGACGA